GATAGATAGATAGATAGATAGATAGATAGATAGATAGATAGATAGATAGATAGATAGATAGATAGATAGATAGATAGATAGATAGATAGATAGATATAGATATAAAATGTATTTTTTAACATGTTTTTTTTCTAATATTCTTTCCAGGATGAATCACCTACTTTTTTTCTTTGCAGGTTCCACAAAACAATAATTCGTAGCCCGGGTACTCAGTGCTGCTCTGGAGTCGAACTGGTCGTCGTGGTTCAAGTCGGGTGAGAAGTCCAGGATTTGAAGATTTGACCCTGACTTTTAAAAAGATTTGTGAAACAGCAGAGCCGGTGGGGGGCATCCACAAGAACACATATTATCAAAGATGTTTATTTTTTTAAGGTAATGTTTGAAATGTAAATCAGGAAAGTCAAACTGTAAGTTTTTTTTGTTTGTTTTTTTTCTAGGCCAAATGTTAAGTTGTTGAATGAATCCATGTGTTTTACTAAGTAGCTGTTTGTTTGCTCTGTCTGGCTACATGCCACACAGAAGAAGAAAATATACAACATCATTACCAATGATTATATCTGATACGGTGCTGTGAAAAACTATTTGCCTCCTTATGGATTTCTTCTATTTTTTTTGTCACATCATGAAACAGATTTTAACATCTGACAAAAGATAGCATAATGCAGTTTTCAAATATGGAGGAAACTTCAAAACAACCTAGCTAACTAAATGAGTCACAAATTATTTGCCAATAGAGACAAATGACTTTCTCCAACAGGGTCAGGTTTTTTTTGTTGTTGTTTTTTTTTCCCTAATAAGTCTTCACTGTGTGAAAATAAAAATAAGCCATAATTTTTTTTTTATTATTATTTGGATTATCGTTGATCTTAACTTTTGGAGAGGTGTGCCCCATCAAACCTTTTTTGGTTCCCTTGCAGCCGTTTGTGTTTCCTCAGTTCAGATCTGTAAATCCTCCGGAGGCAGATAAACTTCAGGTAAATTTGTTTATTTTATTTTGTTTGATATTAAGGGGAACTGACTGATATCTACAGGGGCAATAATGATCTCTGTTCACTTCAATATTTCAGAACATATATTCAGATATTCAAGTAAAGCATCGGTAATTTAAAACACGACAAGTCTTATTGTCGGAACCAGAATAATTGTTTCAAACCTTTGTAAGAGATTATATTTTTGTATTCAGTTTTATTACTTATGTAGTTCATCCAGTAAAAAGTTTCAACTTAACTCCAAGCATCTTTATTAATTAAAAAAAAAAACATAAAATAAAAGTAATGACATAAGCAAGAAGTAGTTGGACGAGCTCCAATAATGATTTCATCTTGGCGTTTTTGACAAACATTTCATCACATCATGAATATTCCATGTGTTGAGCAATGCAGCAAATACAAACACACGATTCCACACAAAAAACACACGGAGGCGGACTGGGAGAGCCACCCTGGGTGGGATCGGACTGCAGCAGTGAGCAGGGCGGAGCCTGAGGCCAATCAATAAGAGCTGAGAGGGAAGTTGCATCAGGGCGAAGTCGGCCTGTCGGCCCCACGGTTTCGTCATGAGAGAGGGCTGCTGGTGCAGACGTCCCGGGAGTCGGCTGTCAATCGCACTCTTCTGAGTCGTATTTAAAGTCCTGCATGATTTCACTCAGAGCCTCTTTGTTCTTTATGATCCTGTCCAACAAAAAGACATTCTTTATAACCACCACATCAGTTACACCAAGTGCGTTTATTTCGCACATCAGTAGACAAGCGAATAAAGACGTCAGCAACGCATTAATAAAGCGTCTCGTACTCGTGCTTGAGCTCCTGAATTCTTCCCTGACATCCCTCGTCCTCCGGCTGATCCTGGGCCTGCTGCTTGGCCAGCTGCAACTTGGCCGTCTGTTCGTAGGCAAGAGCAGGTAAAAAGTCAGGGATAACACGAATTTCACAAGAATAAAACGTACATGCGAGGAAAAAGAAAACTCTCATCATCCCTTCAGCTCGAGAAAATGAGAATGTTTGGGAAGTCAAATCCGAGACGGAACGCAAGGCGGGTTTGAAAGAGGAAAGAATCGTTTGAGAAACGGTGTGGAAACAAATACCAAAAATTGTTTTCCTGCTTATTCTCAAAGCTTCTGAAATAACTTTCTGACATCGGTGCTGAGAACGTAATACCTTAGAAAAATGTCTGATAGAAAGCGAAGCAGTGAGATATGTTTCATACAGAAAAACATAATTTGATGTTTGAGAAGTCTGCCTCCCAGTGGTTAAACAATGACGTTCTATCAAAGAGAACTTTTTCCCCCTTAGACTGAACAAACCAGCTGTGTTACAAGCCAATTCACTTACAGCAGTAACTTTGGGAGGAATAGGACAAATCTGCAGCTAAATATTGTGAGAAATTTGTGAGCAGAGATCCCAAAACATTGACCGAAAGTTTTGCAGCTTACGAGACAATTCTACCAAATCGTGAAGGAAATACGGAGGATATGCATGTTAACTTCTGACGTACAAGGAGGAGATAAATAAAAACCAATACAAAAAAGTGAATACTTTATGTCCAGTGATGAAACTAGTGACTTGTTCAGAGTGTTTGACCCGGCACAGACATGAGTATAGACAATGGACGGCTGAATGTTTTGCTCTTTGTGTTCAACAGTGATGTTTACCCACCAGTTCGAGTTTCTGCTTCTCTTTGCTCTGCAGCTTTTCGATGTGCTCCGAGAGGTCAGCTCGGTCAAAATCTCGATGAAGCTTCGCCTTGATCTCCAGAACTTCCTTAGAAATGCCACTGAAGGCCTGCGTTATCTCGTTGACCAACTGCTTATAGTGCTCAAAGTCGTAATGCGGCCCAGTCCTCAAGTAGGCTTCGTGTCCTCTGAGCAGTTACGGCAAGCCACAAAAAAAATAAATAAAATATTATTCACAATTTTCACAAACTTCATTGGTTATAGAATGTAATAGTCTCAGAAAAATTTTTGTTTTTTTTTTTTTTTTTTTTTTTTTGCTGTGATTACAGTAAACAGAAATGCAGATTTGATTTAAAATAAAATAAAATGTCAGGAAAAAAGAATAATTGACTTAATTTTCCCCAAATCTCCAGTCAATCTCTGGACTTCCACGTGGGATTTTACTGTTGTATGACTTGAGAATTAGGACAACAAGGATTAATAAACAAAGTAACAGTTTAGTACCACATTAAAAATTATTTTAAAAATCTCCTTTCTAAAACCATATCATTTCAGCCCCAAGCTGACTGCCCATAATCTGATTTCTAAACCCAAATTAGCCTCCTCACAGTCTTGGACTGTGTTCAGATACCTGCAGAAGGAGAAATCACACATCAGAGTGTGCGTAAAATGCTGAAACTCTTTAATTTATTACATCACATTTATAGCAGTACTTCAGTTGTCCCTCCATATCCTAAACGGGGGATTGGTTTGCAATCTAGCAGCAAACGATTGCGTCTCGCAAAATTCAACACAGCATCATATTGGAGAGTCACAATCTAATGCCACAGAGATTACATAGACATGTAATCTCACTGAAATAAAACCACATTTTCAAATATTCCAATTAGTAAACCATTACATCATCTATTAAAAACAACAAAGTGTTTTTGTTTTGGAGTCATTTTTGCCTCCTTTCTGTTTATACAAGCTGCTCAAAGTGTGTGGGCAGGAAATCAGTCTGTTGGCGTGGCCCAATTAATAGAATTGGTACTTAATTTTTTTTAATATATATTAATGATTTAATTCAAGTGTCCCTGCACACTATTTTTAATAGTTTTAACATAACCTTTTTTTAATTAAACAATTTTAATAATGTATTTTTTTCTTTAGTGTTTACATTAAATGTTATGTCTGTTTCTGACGCTTTAGCTGCTGCATTAACTTCAATTTCCAAGAGGAAGGTGCGTTTAATGAGATTCCAAATGAAGCATCAGAGCTAAACGGAGCGTTAACAAAACACACTGCTGCTGATCCTCCACGTGTTTGGGAGCACTGCCAGTCAGCTGGCTGAAAGCAGACTACCTCACTTCACCCTTCCTTAAAAGAAGGCCAAATATGGCTTTTTTGTCCTTGTTGGTCGTTAAAAGAACATAATCTATCACTCACGTCAAGGAAAGTGTGCCAATACCTTAATGAATGACCGAACTAATAGCAGCAACTAATTATACTTCTGTTTCTCAATAACAAGGCCCTAATGGAACAAGGGATAGAATATTTTGCACAAAAAGCATGTTTACTTGAAAACTACAAGAAAATGTTGCGTCTTTAATTTAACTAAAGTTTATGTGTCACCTTCCTAAAAAAATATTGTATGTGTACGATAGTGTGAAGCCTTGAGGCATTAAAAGGAGGTACAAACTCACTCTTCAAATAGTTGATACGTCTCTATCCGCTCAGACTGAAGCTGATAAAACCTCTTTATCAGGGCCTTACAGTCTGATGGAACCTGATGAATAAAGAAAGGTTTCATAAGATACAAAATGCCATGAATTGTAGTGAGGATAAACAGCTTTCAATCACCCAATATGGACACCAACTATATATATAAAGTAACAAAAACTAAATCAAACCGGACATTTGACGTTGTTTTAAATATTTGCTTTTCAAACCACATTACTTCATTATTAGCCTGGTTAGCTTAGCATTAGCTTTGAGATGTTTAACTATATGGTCAAATGAAACGGGCTTTCTCACCATGTTGTCGTAACCAACACGAAATGTCGCCAACCAGCTCCAGCTGTTTTATGACAGCAGCATGTTTACATGTGACAAACGCAGGTCGTTTCTGATTTTCTTTAGTGTTGCGATTCAGCAGCGTGTATGCTGAGAAAACCGGATATGACGATTCAGTTCGGTGTAAACAATCGACCTTCAAAGTAAAAGCACGGAGATTTTTATATTTTGTTTGATTTATTTATTTATTTATTTATTTATTTATTTATTGATTGATTGATTGATTGATTGATTGATTGATTGATTGATTGATTGATTGATTGATTGATTGATTGATTGCCTTCGTTCTTTCTCAATAAAATTAGGAAAGCCGCAAAATATAGATCAAGAGTAAAATCCTGCAACTTTTAGACGTGTCTCTGCTTCACCTGAATCAAATAATGAGGTCAATAGCAGGACTCTGAAGAACTTGGCTGCATACTGATGAGGTGATTGAGCAATTTAATTCAGGTGTGATGGACCAGAGACTATCTAAAAGTTGTAGGACATACACCGTCTGGATTTGAACCCCTGAAGTCAAATAAAGTCTAATGTAGTGTACAATCTAGCTTGGAAAGTTTCTTTTAAGAAAATGTTAAAACAACCTAATTTATATGGTGGGGATGATAACAGTGGTTGTTAATTCACTAAAATTGAGCTCATATGTAAACTAGCTACTGTTGAACATTGAACATGGTTTTAAGATTTAATTTTCTAATTTCTTTTTATATGTGCCTTTTTATTTGAAACTCTAGTGGTACCTTGCAGTTGTCTAGCAGTGGTCTACCAGTTTGGGTTGTATAAAATTCTGTTTTGCAGCAATACAGTAGACTGGCACTCTGTGAACCAGAGGTGTCTTTGAAAGCTGGAGCCCACAGGGCACCGCCTATAGACTGGTGTAGTCTTCATCCCATCCACTGGGGGCTTGTATTTTTTATTATTGCGGGATTAGAAAGCGTTATTCCAATATGGAGGAACCAGGTCATAGATCTACTACAGTGTAGACTCCTACGCCCCGAGTCTCCCCTTGCAGTTCATTGGTCCATGAGCGGGTTCAGCACCACACAGGGTGAACAGCGACACTCCGCAGTTTCGTCGGATGAGGATGCCGCGGAAGCTGCTCAACACGGTTACTATGACACCGGGTTTCTTCTTCTTTTTTTACTCTGCATGACACTGTTCCATCCATCCATAGGAAGTACTCCCAGCCAGGACATTTCTCAGTTTGATCGGCGGATTCGTCTTGTCTTCAGAGAAGATTTTGCGTCGCGGATGTTCGGATGCTTCTCAGATTTCCTTTATTTCGTCGGGTCTGCTTCGCTTCGAGTCCAAAGGCATGACGGACTCTACTAACACCATCCCGCGGGTTCAGTCCAGCTGCTTCATCTTCTCATGCACAACGCCGCATCCGCTATCACAGCTGCCGCCGCCCGAACACCGGGTCTCCCAGCCGGCGCCCTGGTGTCCGCCGGTCCCCCAAAGCCTCTTATGACATGACAACTCCGGGCAGGAGGAGCAGGATCAAAGGTTGTGGGTAGGGGTTGCAGAAGGATGGGTCAGATCCTCAAGGAAAGGGTGCGAAGAAACTGAAAGTTTCCCTTTGAGAGTCAGAGAAGCGCTCGACTGGTGTGGAGTCTCCAGAGGGGTCAGAAAGTCCCCGTGATCCTTCTTCTGATCTGTATACCTTCAGCGTGGTGACACCCACCTCTGCCTCCCAGTCTCATCTGATGTACGGCCTCATAGTGTTGATACTGGTCGAGTCCCAGCCAGCTGCGAGGTTCCCCGGGCCTGTGAGGTTCTCCTTCTCCTGCGCAGTCATGGGCTGCATTCAGAGCATAGCCTGCAACAAGTCGCGAATCAAGCGGGAGAACATCGTGGTGCACGACCTGTCCGCCACCATAGACCACTGCCCGACTGTCATCGAGGAAAACTCCCCCATTGTGCTCCGATACAAGACGCCCTACTTCAAAGCCGCCGCGCGGATTGTCATGCCCCCCATTCCGCGCAACGAGACCTGGGTAGTGGGTTGGATCCAGGCGTGCACTCAGATGGAGTTTTACAACACCTACGGAGACATCGGCATGTAAGTTAACGTCTAAGTCACCGGAGTCTCCATCGTGCCCCGGCTGAGTGATTTATCGCGCAAACAGTGAGCAGTTTTCCGGGCAATGCTGCGCCAGCATGCTGATGCTGGTGCATGGCTCTGGGAGTTGGAGCATTTGTGCACACAGCAGGTTCACTGTGCTTGTCAGCCCTTCTTCATTCAGACGCCCACCGACAGATTTTGTTCCTGTGACTCTGGCACGTAAATAGAAAAGCTGCTATTAGATGAAACAACATTTGCTGCTCGCTCTCTGGCACTCAAACTGTGCCCACGGGGACATGCCGTCCCCCACAACACGCACGAACACGCGTTATCGGCGAAGGCATATGTGAGGGGGTGTTTAATCCTGCGGGGTCCAGGTCCAAGGTGGGTGTAGTGCATAAACTGGGGAGAGGGAAGAGGCTTCGGAATCATAAAAGCTCGACAAATAGTGGAGGAAGAGAGGGCAGCGAACTGTGCAAGAACAAAGAGATGATCGTGCACTGACAGCGGTTTGGTTTGCATTGTCAAGGTTTTGCAGTGCTTTCCGTTTTCATTGGCACCGCTGGCAAAAAAAAAAAAAAAAAAAATTGTATCAGGTTAAAATGCAGCTGTAAAAGATGGGTTGATTTTAAGGCTGTTCTGTTACCTGGGGATCCAGGTAAAACAAACTAACTAACTAAAAAAAAAAGCTTCCAACAGCAGAAATAACGGTGTTAGTCAAATCAAAAGAGACAAACAAAATGTACAGAATTGTTGAAAGTGAAAATACATTTCACACAGTCTGGAAAGGGGATGAATGGGGTCATAAGTGGCCCCCCTTTTGCACCAATGCTATTGATTTCAAAGAAGACTGATAATATTAACGATAAATATAAAGTTATAGAAAATATACAGGATGAAAACAGGCGCAAAACAATCAAAATAAAAGAGTTTCACCTTCAAGAGAAGTCTACAGTTTTTTTTATTGAGTTTAGGATTAGATGATATACAAAAAGAATTAGAGAGGAAACATTTAAGCAACATCTGTGCTATTGTTTTATGATTTGCATGTTTTAGTGACAAAAAAGTGCGTTTGAGTTACAGAGCAAGTTCAAAGCCATTACATCAAATCAATTAAAAACGGTAGTAAAGTTGCATAAAATGATAAGCAAAACTCTGTCTTTTAGTCATCCTCTATATTTTTATCTGTTTACAGAAAAAGTGACTTTGACACCAGTGTCAAATTTTTCCCTTAAAAAAAAACATGTTTGCAATAATAACACAAAAGTCTTCAAGATTCTTCATCTGAATTTCCAAATGATTTCATCATAAAGCATTAAGAGCGGGAAACAGGTTGAGGTGTTGAAGTGTTGGAAGTGCTCTGCAGTCAGACGTCTGAGAAAATAATCTTTAACCAGTTGGATAAAAAGCCCTCAAAAGGTTTTAAAATTCCTGCAGGAAAACACTCAAACATCAAATTAGCAACACAGTCACAGATGTGCTCAAAGACCGACAAATAAAACCGTCTGCAAAATAAAAAAGTGAGAGGCAGAAGTCAGTGAGTTCAGCTGACAAACAGTATTATCAAACACGGACTTTTGTGTTTGCAAAACAAAACAAAAACTCTCCACCAGTAGGTGCAAAACACTCCATCTTTAACTCCCCATCTTCAAACATGTTGTTTTGTTTTTTTTTCTAGCTTCAAACATAAAGCTTGAAGAAAACTAGTTTTCTTTGTGTTCCTGTGTGCTATGTGGATGGTATGGCTGATGATATATGAAGTTAACTTTTTCAGTTTGTTGACTGGTAAACCATTCATTTGTCAGTTTCACAATAAAGGCAGATCAAGCAGAGTCCTCCAAATATCTATGTAATTGTTTAATTTATTTTTTTAGTTTGAGGTTTTCTCCAGCTCTAGTGGCCTTTTTTTAACAGCTGTCAGACAAAAAGTGGGTTATCAGAGAGAAGGAAGACATGGGGGGGGAAAGGTCAACAGGTCGGGACTCTAACCCATGATGGCCACGTTGAGAGCTAAGACCTCCGTATGAGTCGCCACCGCTGCGCCTGCATGTCAAAAATTTTTAACATTGAATGGGACTTTCTACTTTAGACTCCATCTTTTACAAAAGTTCAACAGAAGTTTGAACTTAGGTTAAACTTTTTTTTTTTTTACTTGTTTTTGTACTCTTGGGCTTGTGAAACCAAAGGTTACCCAGAAGGGGGATTTCCTTTCTGTCTCCCTGCAGGTCGAGCTGGGAGCTGCCTCAATTGCGGGAAGGTCTGGTGAGGGCCATCAGCGACTCCGACGGCATCAGCTACCCCTGGTACGGAAACACAACGGAGACCGTCACCATAGTGGGCCCCACCTCCAAGCCGTCCCGCTTCACAGTCAGCATGAATGATAACTTTTACCCCAGTGTCACCTGGGCCGTGCCGGTCAGCGAGTCCAACACGCCGTTGCTGACCAACATCAAGAGGGATCAGAGCTTCACCACCTGGCTGGTGGCGCTGAACACCACGTCCAAGGAGAAGATCCTGCTGCACACCATCAAGTGGCGGATGAGGGTGGACATAGTTGTGGATCCGGCCCAGCCTCTGGGCTCCAGAGCCAGGCTGGTGGGCCGGCTGTACCAGGAACAACCGCGGGTGTTGAGCCGCATGGAGCCCGTCCCTCCAAACGCCATGGGGAAGCCGAACGCCAACGACGCCCAGGTTCTGATGTGGAGGCCCAGGAGAGGTCCTCCGCTTGTTGTCATACCGCCTAAATAGAGCCAAGAGAGGCTCTTCAGAACCGTTTCTTTTTCTACGACGTCACAGAGAGCCACACACGACTGAAACTGATGATGAAAGACCGAAGCAGAGTTAAGTATTTAATTGTTGAATCGGTGTTAAAACTCTGCCTTAATTCCCCGCCGCTGCCTTTGAACCATCCAGAAGGTTTCAGCCTCTGGTGCTGCTGAACTGCGGAGCGTACGGAGGTGCACTCTGACCCAGCACACCCGAGCGGAGCGCCGCTTAACTCTGAGAAAACACCGTCAGTGCTGGGATGTATCATTAATCTTCGATGTAGCTCCTCAGGCTCAAGAGGAGCCTTGACACAGGCGGTTATACACGAAAAGGTTTACAGCCTTAAAGATCCTCCTGAGGGAAAGTTTTGGAGGTGAAGGTGAAATCTAAGACAACTCCATCGTGGGGGGGATTAATTGATCGTTTTCATGTCAGATGGATGATGTGAATGTAGGTATTCAGGTGTTTTTGTCTGTGCAGATGTGTTTTTTTTATGACGGCTGCGTTCGGGGTTGCTGCTGTCACACCAGACTGCCTCAAACACTCCAGAGGCCTCATTCAGGTTAGTTTTACTTTCAACTTTCAGATCACAGGAAACAGACAGACTCGACACGTACACATCCTCAAGGACACACTGACACGTGAATGAAGCCTACAGAGAGATTCTCCTTTTCCAACAGTGACTTCATCCAAGCTTCCCAGTTGCTCCAAGTTCTGCCTTCGCAAAGCCAGAGATGCCTGCCGATGTCGACAGTGAAGCCGGATTTTTTATTTTTTTATTTTATTTATTTTTGGTGGGATTTTCAGGCCCCTCGTATTAGATTTGGAGAGAATGAAGATGTAAAGGACGCAAACGTACCCCGAAATGGTTTGACTGTTTGTTACTAAGGGAAATCAGTAGTATACCACCATGTCGAATCAAAACTACATGCCTCATCATCAAACCCTCTGCCTCCCTTTTCACCTCCATAAATTCATGGTCCTTCGTCAGTATTACTTACAGGGGCTTTATGCTGCTTTTGGCTCCCAGGGGGCGCTGTGTTAGGACTGGTATCATGACACGGATGGGGTGTAGTAGAGTTTGGGGGTTGGGAATGGCGTATAGGAACTCTAAACTCCTCAGTTTTCCTCTCTACCTTGCCTGTCGCTCTTAAGCTTTGCATCCCATCTTAAAATGCGGTTTAAAAATCTGTCTCTACAATCGACTACTTGCTTTAAAAACTCGTTATCGTAGTTTTTATGTCTCCGAAGGTAAACCAGAGAGCGCATTCCAACTATTGAGGAATTGCATTTCTCCTGCCTCTCTGGGGGAAATTTGCTCTTCCCGCTTTTGCATAGCAAGATCCAACTGATCCAACTGGGGTCAGGATTATCAGTAAGGGTTGCACCAGTACATGCATAAATGCATCAGTCAGTATTATTGGTGCCTTTTCTGGTTGGTAAGCTGCACATCTTGTGTGTTTCACCTCCTGATATCTGTGGTGGATTTATTCTGTGGTCAGGGATGACCACGTTTCCCTTCAGCCTGAAGGACACAGAGTAACCAACTTGAGTTTTTGTTTTAATATTTGAGTAGAATTTAAAGTTTTTCATAATCATGTCCATAAACACTTTACCTCCAGCCTTATTTATGTTTTGTTTTTAGGGGATTTTTTGTTTGTTTTTGTAATTTTCCCCTTGCATTTCAAAGTTTTGAGAGGCTGTAGTTTCTTTACTGACTTTTGTCAGTTTGGAAGTGTCTTTGTGGCGACCATAAGATTTCTTTTACAGACCAGTGTTTTTCATACGGTGTTGTCAGCTGGAAGAGTTTTAATTTTGTTTTGTAACCCATTCCTCTCACCCCCCCTCCCCTTCTGTTGTGTAGAAATGTCCCAAGATTTTCTGAATCTTTCTGTGGAGGTTGAAAAAGGAAAATGTTCACTTCAAGCAAATTCGTCTTTGAGGATTTCCCACAAAGCTCTAAACCGGTTCTCCCTCCTGATTCTTCAAAAGTCAGTTTCCTTTTTATATTCAGTCCTATTCCTGATCTGTAAAAATCTCCAGTACAAAATTGCTGGCAGGCTAATTGTGATTAAATATGCTTTAAAATAGTTAAAAAACCTTTTTTTTTTTCCACGTAGGATTTAAAATAGCTCACAGCGCCATGTTTTTGAAATATTATACACATTTATTTGCTCCTCACCCAATAAATTGCAGAGCACTAGATTTCCTTCATAAGTGCTTTTAAACGCTGTGGGACTTTGCACTTATGGCTGCTGTCAAAATGCAAAAGTACTCAAGTGTGATACGAATATATTAATATTTACCACGCTCCCCATCTCAGTGTAACCACTGAATATTTCAAAGAAGCCAAAAATGAGAAAATTACTAGGAAATTTGCTCTCGACTCAAGTCAACCCATTTCACGATGCCTTGCAAAATATTTCTATCTGTTGATGTTTTCCTTAAAACATTTTGTCATGCGACAATGATGAAAAAAATGAGATAAGAAATCCATGTTGATGAATCATGTGCAATCAAAATAATCAATTAAACAAAAGACAGCTGCATGACTTACTCCACATCTGTCCCTAATCAATAATCAATGTTCACATGAAAGGTAAATGCCCCACCCAAACACAAGCCACCAAACCTTGACATGTTTTATTGGGAGTGTATTTATATGAAACCTCACCTAATTTATTAATCCTATGACCTCTGAAGGTCGCACTGGATTTTATTTAAAGGAATCAGAGTAAAGGAGGCTGAATACAAGTGCATTTCACATGTTTTTGTAGATTTATAGACCCAAAGATACACTCAGATTTCATTGGTGTATCATAAAAAACAAGTAACAAAACGTGAAAAATACGACAGTGTAGGAATGCTTTTGAAAGGCATTGTAAGGCTGACTTTACGCTCATGACAATCCATTTAAAAGTGGTCCTGAATTGCTGCTCAAAACCCAAACAGATAAATTCAAAAAGACGTCCTAGTGAATTAAAAACAGTCACAGTTCCTCTTCTGGCGTCATGTCTTTTTCTAAACTGCTATTACAAAAAAAAAAAGAAAAAGAAAAGAAAAAGAATGTCACTTGTTTGCCAATTGTTTAATCAGTCCATTCCGCCTCATCGACACAAAAAAAGACCCGGACGGATCACGGAGGAGCGCCGAGCCCAGCCAGAGGAGGAATGGACGACGTTCCCGCAAAAATCGCTCCCATGCTGCTTCTTCATCGTGGCGCCAACTGAACGAGGCTTCACAGACCGACACACACCTCACCGTCAGAGAGGCGGGCAGCCGGGTGTTTTGGAAAACGGATACGCCTACCTTTAACCTCGACCCGGGAGCGGCCGGGTGAAAAATCTGAGGATTCAAACTTCTGAAGTCACGCCGACAATCAGGAAAACCCCCCACCCCCAACATTGCAGCACTTGTGACCGAGGAGTTCATTATTGTTCAACGAATCGTGGCTTTTCTAGTGTAAAAATAGTGACGACTGTAATGTTTTAATGAGGAAAAATAAATTGAAATATATTTATATCCGATCATATCTGCTGCCTGTGTGTACGAGGGTTTCAAAAGTATAATTTTCTCTATAAAGGAGTCTTCATAAGGAGAATTATAGGTTAATTATTTAGTGACGTCAACTCAGAATATCAGGCTTATGTTCTTGAATTTCTTTCCATTTTACCAAACCGCACAAAAAAAAACTCTCCATATTGTCACCTTTATATTGTGTTTTAATACATTCCAATCTGAATATAACTGTTAATGTGTTGCACAGCAGAAAGGTTCAAACAGGAGCCACACAATAACCCATACTCATAAGTTACACACTGTCCTTACAGAAAAGCTTCACATGTAGATAATTAAGATAAACTTAATATTTATACCCGCTTTATACCAACGTAGCTCAGAAAACAAAAACATAATGAATCATAAATTCCCTAAAAGGATTCTGTGTTTGATTATTTGGCCACAGAGTCAATACAATATACTGCAAAAATAAAAACAATAAAATAAAATAAAACAAAGAGCTTCACCATCATCATTGGCCTAAAAGAACAATGTAAACCTAAGCCAAATTACTGCAGCTAAACTAAAGACTGATTTAAAAATTATTTCAAGTTCCAAAATGAACCAAATCACCAGTTTTTTTTTTTCTTTGAGTGGTGTCACAGCAGCTGCTCGGTTCAATTCCTCAGTCAAACATTTTACTCCAAATTACAGTAAAAAGTTTGATTCCAGCTGGCTGAGACGACGGCGGAGCGATCCGGTCACAGAGTGTCTCTGAGTTTGATGACGAGAAGACATTTTACGGACTGAAGAAAGACAGCAGTCATTTAGAAAACACAAGTTATAGTCAATGAAAGCGTCAGTGTCTTAAGAAAATGTGTTTGTAGAACCTTTCACACTGACTGGCACCCCTGGCAAAGACGAGAGAAATCTAACCTTTCGTTTAGGCGAACTCTCATACACTAGGAAATATTTAGAATATTGAGAAATTTGGGGGTTTTTTTCTTACTAAACTCACTGTTGCTGCTGCTCATATACCTCCCCCCCCCCTTTTGGTACCTGTACAGTCTCTCTCCAGGTTATCCACAGTTTTGGGTCAGCTCTTAAGTTTTCTTCTTCTCAGCTCACCAAACAGGTTTAAGGCCTGTGGAGTGAGTTGGATCTGCCCGGTGATCCATATCTGTTTCGATTTGAACGTATGATTTCCACCATTACCGTGTGGGAGGCAATCTAACGAGGTTCCCACAAACTACAGTTGGTTTTTTTCACGCTGGGAATGGGAAACTAACTACTCCAAAAATATGAAATGATGTCCCTCAGATCAGCTTTAACTCACACAGTCCCAGGAGGATGGAAATAATTGAAACCAAATCCATTTTTTTTAAACAAAATGAGTATTTTGACCCCCAACAACAACAGGTATATATAAGGTGACCTATTTCCCAAATTACCAGAAAATGCCATTTTCCTGTAGCATTTCAGTAGGGAATGAAGAAGAATCCACATCCGTCTTCAGTAAACGGCATGTTCCTCAGCGTTTCCCAATTTGAAGAGTCATATTTAAATGTCAGGGAAACAGGAAGAAAAAAAAACTGCTTCTGTTGCAATGTGGGATAAATGAGCTTAAATTAAAGGTTAGATTTTCTAAAAAAAAAAAAAAAAATGCTCAGGGAGAATTTATACTTCAGCAATAACAGCCTAATTCAAGTTGAGCCTCCCCCCCCTCCCCATCTTCATTAGGGGTGCCATAAAGTGTGCAGGCCACTACAGTTCAAGTGTGTGTGAAGGGCGTGTAACACCTGAGCTACACTGGACCCTTTCATGCCAGAGTTATTGACCTGTTTGAGTTCAGCGATCTGTTAGCATCTCACATCAGGTTGTAATGTTTGCTTAAAATGGACAAAAAGAGCAATAAATACTATGGCTGTAGAGGCGCTCTCTTCCTCTGCAATCATTTACTGCATGGGCGTGACCAGCGTGGCAGTAAACGGTTACTGGTTGTCAAACTGGTCCTTCATGAACTCTATCAGTCCATCCTTTTCCTGTAGACGTGGCAGCCAGGACATCTCTGCCACAGTAAAGAGAGGAAAGGAAAAAAAACACACACACTCTTGTGTTTTCTCCTTCCCCCGTCCCCCCCAAGAAAAAAATCGCTTCTCCTTCAGAAGTGAGGCACTTTCGGTGTGAGACCAACCACAGTGTTGTGCTTGCAATACTGTCCTCTTCTCACAATATGTGATGAAGACCTCCTCCCCCTCCCCCTTCATCCCTCCTTTTTTCTGTCCCCTCAGCGCTCTCGTCTGTCCTTCCTCCTCTCCGCCATCTTGAGGCTTCAACTGGACCTCCTGAAGCCGCCGTAGAGTCAGCTTAAGCCCTGCTGGGGTTGGCGGACGGCTTGCCTTCGTAGCCGTACAGGAAAGTGGCGGTGATGACCAAAACTGCCCCGAGGAAGAACACGCTGTGGAAACGAAACAATGAGCTCCGGAAACCATAAGAAAAAGCATCCATATGTACGAAGAAAAAAAAAATAAAATACGGGTTCTTCTACCTTGAGGGGTCAAAGTCCTGCAGCAGGAAGTAGGATATAAGAGTGGACAGGATGATGGAGAGTGACGTGGCGAAACCTTTTAGGATGTTGTCTGCATACTTGATGACCGCTGCTATGACCAGACCACCCAGCGCCTGGAGAAACAACAAACACACAGATGCAGATGGACGAAGGCGCGACCTGAAGGGGCCCGATGAGCCGCTTTCAGCAGAACTGGATGGCTGCTGGTGGGGAAATGACATCGGATCCCGTGGTAGTGGAGGAGGAGTTACCTGCAGGGCTACGACCGTCCAGGTGATCGTGTTGTATCCCTGAAACATCCCCGACTCTCTCACCCGCTCCCCGTCGTATGCTAGCATGCCAAAGAGGCCAAACACAAAGCCGAACATTCCTGGAAGGAGAAACACGCACATACACACACATAAATAAAACGGGATAACCCAAACAGAACAACACAAAACGCACCAGCTGCTAAAACAGCATAAATACAGCAATCCACATTTCACAGGAAGTGTCAATGTGGTAGATCTGCTCTCATAGGTTGTTTCTGGGCCCTTTACTGTAGCTGCTAGCGCCCCTAGTGTTCAACTTGTAGTGGGATTTTTTTTTTTTTTCTAAACGTAAAATTTTAAAATAATTGTAGTATCCGCTGAGGAGGACTCTCACAATAATCTAATGTAAATGATCTAAATGGTTTAAAAGAAAATACAGAAACTCTTTAGTAAGACCTAAAATATTCTCAGTTGAACAGGTTTGTCTGGTGCAAGATTCAGTCTGCAATGGTTATCAATGGTTGTAATAATCCTCAGCACACCAGCTTCAACAAATATTATAGAAGTGTATGAAAACAGAAGTACAGATTGGGAGAATATTTTTTAAGGGAAACTGTTAAGAAGGTGTGTGCAGCATGTAATTAAGATTGTATAAAGAAAATTGCAAATTCCTAAAAAGCAGAGTTTGATACAAACTGCATCAGGTTGAGACAAAAAAAAAATTCCATGCTGAAAATCAGGAAAAACAAGTCTTTCTACGGGGAATTTTCAAAGTAAAGCTCTGTACGTTGTAGCGCCCCCTAGTGCTGCATGCTTCCCAAATTGGCAGGTTACTAACTCAGGATAAAGAATCCAGTTTGAGAATATTTGTCAGAATAATTCAGCTAGCTGGCAACAGTGTGTTTGCGCAGACTTAATTTCCAAATAACACACAGAAAATAATTTCTCTAAAAAAAAACAGTTAAAGTCATATTTTATTCAGGCTTCATTTTTGGCCTTCACAGTTTTAGCAGTGCTGCAAGTTACAGGAGTTTTAAACTCAAGAATTGGGTTAGCCTAATGACTAAAGAAGCTAATTTAAATTACCTTAAGGTTCGAGGAATGTCTCAAGACTTTTTTTAGCGGTTTAGGTTTTGGTGTGACTTTTAAAGAAAAGAATGATGTAAAAAAAAATTTAAAAAAGACCTGCAAAGATTTTTATATCACTGCATATCCCAGAGGCTGTGGACCTGAACTGTTGATGGCTGCGTAAAGCGCTTAAGTGTAAAGATCGTAAACAAAATTTGCCCGCAGAGTTATGAATTAGCATAGCTTAGCTAAGCAGGTTAATAAGCAGGTTAGCTTCAACAGCCTTAAAACAGAAAAAGTCGGCTCTCAAATGTTTAACGCAGGTGGAAAAAAAGCTTTGAGCTCGCAGGAGGAGTCACAGGAGGCTGAGTACATGCCTCACATGTTCCAAGGTAAAAAATAAACCCAAACAGGAACATTTGTCTTAACAGAAATTCACAGGGGGGAGAGAAAACCCAGCTGCCTCTGTTCTCGCTCTGGAAACACCGGCACACGCAACGCCACGCAGCAACGCCCCCAAGTCCGACGTCTCCGTCGACAACTGACCGAGCTGGATGTTGCGGATCCACACGCTCTGTTTGCTCTCCTTCAGGATCTTCTCAAAGTAGACGCCGGCAAAGCCGCTGGAGCAGCACGCCACCAGGACCGCCGTGACCCCGACGAACTGGGAGCCTGCGGAGCGGGCCTCCTTCTCTGGGGCCGCCGCAGACTCAGAGGGCCACTGTGGGGAGCAAAAACAGAACACACTTTGATTTTCAGCATCGGTTTAGTAAGTTAATAATAGGAACACCGAGAACTCGTGTCAAAGTGGGTCAAACGTGTGGCCTTGCATCAGAGATGATGTTCACTTCAGCATTAGCTTAAGAAATGTTCGATCCGTTCAAATGGATGGATGAAGAGCAGGAGTTTTATTCTTTGTTAGGATGCCAAACTGGGCTGCTATTAATTTATTGCATGGTTTGGAAATATTGAAAACTACACCATGGAAAGTTGTAGGGAAAAAAAAAGGTCACCATAAGGAACTCCAACACACACAAAAAATATCCACATGTAATCTAAAACTTTTATTAAAATTTCCTACTTTGCATACCAGAAGCAGACGGATTCACTCGCTGCTCAGTAACAGAGTCAGCCCGAGTACGCCTTATGTTCATCTCAGGCAAACTTCTGTTTTCATTTGAATTTTTGCAAGCTGACAAGTTGAGCTGACAGGTTTGCAGATGGCAGAGAACAACCTTGTTTTCTGACGGTAAGCGGAAAAAAAAACAAACAAAAAAAAACCCAACACCAATGCAAATAATCACGTGTTAAATTTAACTGGTTGACTTTTAGTAACACCTTGCCAACACGAAGAGAGAAGAGAAGACTTAAACAACCCTGAATGAGTCATAACTCTGTGCTTTTGGATCGACTATGATGTCACATATTTATAACACAATATTTAAAAAAAAAGGGCTCAAACTCTAGTCATTTATATTCGCAGTCAGGTCTGTAGATTTATAACACTAGGTGTCTGAAATCCATACGCTGGCATCTTCACGGTTTTGCTGAGTTGTGAGAAAATTGTTCTTGGGCTCTTTGTGCTGTCGTAAGCTGGAAAAAAGGTGGCAACACACAAAAAGGGAAAGGACGAGCCGCGGTGGTGCAGAGAGACAAAATAAAAAGGAATTTGTTTAATAGGCCGAAAGCTTTGTTTTAGATACAAATATCATTTGCTTGAACTGCAGGATTAGACGTAATATCCAGGCAGTCGCATTAAAAAACCACAACGCGAACGGAAGAGAAACTGAAAACAAGACGGTTGCTCCGTTTAGTGTTTTCTTTTTTTTTTTTTTTTTTCCTTCTCTGAATCTGGAATCTGCTGCCAGGCGTAAGCAGAGTAAAACCTTGAAGTGAAGAGCTGAGACAGATTACAGCCAAAATTGTTGTCTAGAGATTTATAAAGAATGTTAAGAACTGAAATATTATCAGTAGACAATGACACAGAAATATCCATCCTGTATTTTTAATTGAATATCAGTCGATTTAAGCACCACAGTCTTCAAACGTGTTCGGCTGATTGTGACTTTGTTGCTACAGTGGGTCCAGGCAGTTCTTACACTGCTTAAAAGTCTTTTTTTGTTTCTTTAAACGGAGCCACATTTGTAAAAGAAATATATTTGTTGGCTGATATGCATGATTCTGCTAGTGATTCTTGATTTTTTTTTTTTTTTTTTTTTTAATCTTTGGATTGGGTTGAAATTTGAAGCAACAAGACATTTGTGGCAATTCAAAATTTCTCATTTAACAAGCAGGGGAGACACATTATTCTGGTCGCACACTGCTGTGGGACACCGCCTTGTTCTGCACCCAAGCATTTGTCACAAATCAGCCATCTTGGTTGTGTCGACAGCTTTAGGGTGTTTGGCTCCAATAACAACAAAACCCTGTTATGTTGTTATACGAGTATCACTTACTCATATCTGCTGCTCATACCACAAATGCATTTCCTTATGAATACTTTTAAAAGGAAATAGATAGCCATTAGATGTATTGCCAGTTAGCATCATTACGACAAAGCAAAGCAAAACACGAAGATCATGGACATTTTTCATTTACTCTTTGCAATTGATTTAGTTAATTTTTTTTCAACCGGTGGCACAATAACACGTCCAGCTCTGAAATTTCAGAGCCATCGCTCCAAAACGAGTAAAGACAGCAACAACGAAGCCACTGCCTAGCTTTAATTAAAGGACTTTATCTCTGACATCTGAAATTGAAGCAATATTGTTCCGGTTCATCCGAACAAACTAAAACCAAACAATGTACCTCACCTGCACAAGAGCCACTCCGGCCATCAGGATCAGCAAGGAGAGCCACTGATAGACCCCCAGCCTGCGCCCAAGCATGGAGACAGAGAACAGGGCCGTGGTCAGGATCTTCAGTTGGTACGTCACCTGAGGTTAAAAAAAAAAAAAAAAAAAAGAAAGAGGGAAATGTTTTTAATCTAAAAGCACAGATTCGTCAGTCACTCCCATGGTCCTCTGGGCGTACCTGATATGTGGCGGCGTCCAGGTTGGACAGCGCGACGTACAGCAGGTTGTTCTGCAGCGTGTAGATCCCCGAGGGGATGGCCAGCTTCAGCGTCTCCACAGGTTTATGGAGGATTTCCTGACGCAGGATACTGTTCAGAGCTCGCATGCTGTAACCTGCAGCAGAGCAGGGAGAGCCATTAAAATGTCTTTATGCGGGGATAGAGCAAAAGAGGCAAGTGGAGTTTGTTTGCCCTAGCATGAGTCCAGCAACAACGAAAGCACAGCTTGGTGAAGCCTGAGTCTTTCCTTTCCAAATTGTTTTTAATTGTTCGTGGATAAACGTTTAAACTTGGTGTATGTTTGGTCTAAAAGTTAAAAGATTTCGAAGCTTATTAAAAGTCTTAGCCTAATTCAGACGAGAAAGCTGGGAACGAGCTAAGCTCAGACTAGGGAGCTCTCGATCGCCGACAGCGTCTTCATCAGATGAGCTCCCCAAGTCACACATGTTGCTATACGCAAACATCGACCATGCAGACCTGCATTATTTTATTCTGTTTTCTGTGTTGTGATGGAAACTGAGTTCACTTCAAATCGGGGACTGAAGCAGCTCTGGTCGGAGGTTATGATTAATGCTTAATGGTTGACATTTTCTTTTTTATGCAAAACAAAAACTTAATTTTTAGTGACATCTAGAAACCGTCTGGTTGTCGGCGCGAAGACCGCACGTCTCGCAATTCTAACAGCATCCAGGCAGTATGATAAAAATGTTAAAGTTGCATCATAATTACCGTTACTCTCTCATATTTTGCATTTTCAAGTCTTCAACAAACAAAAATATACATATTTTCCAAACATTGTCATTACCAAAATGTCACCAGTTCAAAAAGGATTCAGTGCAAAAAACACAAAAAATATTAGACCAAAAGTATTTCTAGAGCAAATATACACTTGAAACAAGACAAAACCAACTTACAGGAAATATGAGCTTGATTTAAGTGAGTAATTCCTTAATACTGATGAAAAAGTTTTGTGTTTTTACAAACAGGCAGTTTAGAAATTATGATGAGTTAGTATGAGAGGACCTGGATTAAAATCTGCCTCGGGCCCCAAAAAGGCTGAGTGTCGCTGACTGATGTCAGAACAGGTTCCAGTAACACCAGGTCGATATGGTCCCCAAATCAAGGACTATGTAGGACCCTAAACATCCTGGGATCGGCCCTGGAAGGACCAGTACTTCTATGCTGGTGGAGCCCTCCGAACACCCCACTCACTGTGCTCCTTGAAAACCAGCACCACACAGGCGAGGATCTTCATGACCTCGGCCACCACCACGGCCGAGGACGCCAGGTACCGCGGGCCCTCGGCCTGGAGGGTGCGGGAGTACCGCATCGTGAGCACCAGCGAGGTGGTCTGGAATACCAGCACGCCCAGGGAGAGGTACTTTAGCCGGGCTGAAGCCATGGTGGGAACCTGAGGAAAAACCGGACAGTCAGTCTGACGTGGAGGACGACGTGGAACCAGAGACAGGTTGAGCCAACATACAGGTGAGTTCACCTTTTCCTTTACCGTCAGCCCGTCAGGTTCCCCTCAGCATGAAGTGGATTCCTCTCCTTGAAGTTGTTACCTCAGCTCAGTTCGGATTGTCTCTCTGAGGCAGACAGAGGGACAGTGGAGGATAATCCCAGCTGTCAAAACAGCAGCTCCTCTCCCGTCCGTCCCGTTAAGTCCGGTGAATCTCCTCCCGGCTCTCCGCACCGACCGTCGGGAAGCTCCGAGCCATTACGGTTCAACCACGCTTCAGAAGAGACGCGCACAAACCGCAGCAAAGCACTTTACTGGAGGAATCTCATGCCTCTGAAGGTCCTGGATCACTTCCTTGTTCGCATCTCTTCCTTGTTTTTTTTTTTTTTTTTCCCCTTAACGGCTGAATATTGCGCCACCTGCTGGTTCGAGTCTAAATGTGTGGACGAATAATCCGTAAAGTGGGTTTATTTAGGAAATACTAACACACACTATTTGTAAAATTAAATCTAAATGATTAAAATTAAATTTCACACAGTGAAATTACAGACGGCGCTAATTCTTTACAAAGGCAAAAAGAAACAAACATTGTCTAAGTTTAAGGAGCCAATTTGTAAGTTAAGGAGGAATTCACAGTTTAAAATGTGCAAATTCAGACCTACTAGAAAAAAGTATTGTGTATCAGTAAATGGAGTCATACCGTGGATTAATTTCAATATTGAACTAGACAATGTCCAAAAATAATTGTCATATAAACATATGATTATTGGCGGATATAATATATAACATTACTATTCAATTATTGTTGGTGTTTTTGTTGTTAATACTAGTTTTTTTGTGCAATTTAAATAAATAATGTTTGTCCATCCAGTTTTGTAAATGAAATTAAACAAATACTATGTTGGTAGGTGTATGGATTGTGCATGTAAGATTATATAGGTGGATAAGGAGTGGGAATATTGTTAAATTTATTCCACCCGCTCCCTTGAAAACGTAAAAATAATTTTAATCGTGCTGAATTTTTGTACATATTGAAAAAAAATAAACAAATAAATAAGATTAGGGAATTGAGATTTAATGACATAAAGTAATATGCAATATTTATTTCCCTTTTGATTCCATATGACTCTACTTATTTATTTTTGATCTACAGGAAAAGCTTATTTTTATTTAGTCATAGTATCAAGAACACACTATGTATCTAATATACTATTTAATACACAAACGCACTCTATTCAACTTCTGAAGGGAACTGGATGTTTTAGGAGCTTCAGAGAAAAGTAAATGCAGTTGAAACCAGAAGTTTACATACACTTTTACATACCTAAGTCTCTGACTAAGTCTTTCTCTCATTATCTATTTTCCCCTGTGCACATTTCTTTTTTTTTCTGTTCTTTTCAGACCCAGGAGAAATATTATATGAGACAAAGACAAGCTAAGGTAAATCTGAAAACTGCTTCGCATTGAAAACGTTTTCAAGCATAAACAGACTCTATATGGACATCATAAAACCTTGTTTCAGGGTTTTTTGTAGTTATTTCAATGTAAACTTACTGGTGAACTTTGGATTATTGTCCTGCTGCATTACCCAAGTTTGTTTGAGCTTAAGGTCATGAACGGACGGCCAGATGTCTCCTCCTGGATTTTCTGCCAGAGAGCAGAACTCACAGTTTCCTCAGCTTACAGCAACATGTCCAGGTTCTGAACCAGTTGTGTTCTGGTGCAGAGCAGCAGCACCATAACATCACAATACCACCATCATGTTGTTTTTCTCCTGAAACATCAGGAACATCTAGTTTTTCTCCAGATGTGACAAGACGTATACTTTCCTGAAAGTTTCACTTTCGTGTCACTAGTGCACAGAATATTTTCTCAAACAGGGCTTTACATTCTTCTTGCCCAGCAGATTTTCACCCTGGAATTCTCCCATTTTTTTTGCCCTGTCTCTTTCTTACTGTTGAAACATGAACTCTGACCTCAGCTGACGGACGGCCTTTTGTGCTTTAGATGTTTTTTTTTAATGAACTTTCTGCATGAGTCATTAAGGCGCTCCTGCAGTAATTTTTTTCTCTCCATTTGTACGTGATTGCTTTCACTCAGTCTCAATTCAACATTACAACCTTTTTTTTTTTTTGACTCTAATAAAGAAATGTTAAGTTCAAATTCAATTCAAAAACACATCATGTTAGCATGTTGTGTTGCTTTTTGAGACCTTTTAGCCTACTTCATGTTTTCAGACAAGTTCCACATTATTCAAGTCTTTCAGGTTCTACAGGTGTGACAGTAATCAGGTCTGAGCTCAGCCAATGATATTAAACAAAAGCTTTCTCAAAATGGTGCTTAATCACAGTTCTTGATTAAACAAGGCGTAAGGTGAGTGATGCTTTTTTTCCCCTTAATAAATTAGTTGATCATCTGGAACCTGCCTTAGTATTTTATTATGTTTGTTTGATGATGTGAGCCATTTAAGTGACGTCACACGTTTAGGGAACAAAAGCAAAATATATACTTTATAGTTATGCACTACTTTGTGTTGGTGTGTCACATAAAATCCCAATAAAAGTGGAAACGTGAGTACTTTTGCGGTAGGCTATAGAATATACCAGCTTAGATGAGAAAAATGGACAAACATGCAGAGGTCTATGAAGATCAGGGCTTTATTTAAGTAAACACATTTGGTTTATTATTGTTTTTTTTTTGTTTTTTTTCTGAACAGATTACCTCCTGAATCGACGTTGGTTCTACCTTTAACAAACATGGTGACAACTACTTCATACTGTATGGATAACATAGGCTATTTGGTTAACATAAAAAAGAATGGTAAACATACAAAAAAAAAAAAGATTTTATATACAGAACATAGACAGTCTTGAATAGGTACCAGATGATTATGACTATGAAAAATACAGACTGACATCACATCGTACAGTACATGGCTTTGTGAAACTAAAGAGACTGTGTGTACAGAAACGAAGGCAAAGGTCAGGAATATTGATGAGCTCGACCTCACTCACGGCGATTCAACGTTTCAGCTGGTGCGGGATGCAAGCGCTCCGTCTCTTACCGTTGAGCAGATGCAAAACTTTTACAAGCAACAAATATATGTACACTGTGAGCATTTTTTGGCTTAACAAAACACAATTTGGTCTCCCACTCCTTTTTGAAAATAATCAACGATTTTATGATTGTCTGTGATTACAGAGCAGAAACTCACCATCCGCTTTGAGACAAACAACAACAACAACAACAAAACCCATCTTTTACTGCTTGTGGGCAGACTTGGTTATGAATCATGACAAACGTTGATTGTAGATAAACAAATCTTATACATTTTTGGAAGACAACTGCTTAGAGGCAGTTTAACGGTAAAAACATACACCTTTGTAACTTTCAAAATCATTTAGGAAGTGCAGATATTTATATAAAAAACAGGCACTTTAAGAAAGCAACAACACCACATTTAGCTCAACTAAAACAAGCAGAAATTGCTTTAAGTGTATGTACATTTCTTCTTACAGAATAATAACAATGGAGACGGCAACGACGGACAAAACCAACACAAACGGCTTTAAAGCAACAGAATGAATCCCTCCGATACGTCTTAAGAGTGAAAACGGACAAAACATAAATATCTCAACACCTGTTTTTGACTGTAAATCCCCATTTAAAGAACGTCCTGACATAATCGATGTACTTGAACAGACAGAAAATGTAAAACCGTGATACAACAAAAGCTAAAAACCTAGCCATTGGCACAATAAACAGGAATAAAAAAAAAACACCACCAACAAAAAAGAGGAACCAACAAGCAGGTTTTTTTTTTTTTTTAGTTAATGAAAGCATCAGCTGATTGAGACTCGTTAAATTAAAACATTTAGAGTGAACGGTGTCAACCAGAAGTTAGTATCAGCAAGTTTATAACACTGAAGAACATGTAAAGGTAGCATCTAGTGAACAGATTTAACAGACTTTTTAAGAATAGAGATAGAGTGTCAGTGTGGAGGATTTCTGATGAACAGTCTCCTTTTTCTGTTAGTTAAGCAAGAAGAGCTGAACTTCTTCTGGTCGATAGTTTTTCTTCGCGATCCCTCGGGAATTGCAGAACCAGTTCGTGATGCACCTGGATGCCGTAGCAGTGGTTATTATTGTGCAAATTTGGTTCCAAATGAAAAGGAAGAAGTCTTGGCTGATGAAGGTAAATATATGGAAAAGTTTTTAGAGCCAAGCTTCTGCTCCAGAGGATGTGATTTTAGCGGAAAGTACCAAATTACGCTATACAAACTATATACTGTTGCCCTAGTTGGAAACAGAAGGGGAGGTGGGTGACTAGGATTTTAGAGGACAGAGAGTGTACGAGAAAGGGACTGTGTGTGTGTTTATGTGTTGAACCAAAGAGTCAGTCTGTTTCTGCTCTCCTCTGACGCCTTCATGCGAACACCTGCATGTTTCCGAGCTGAGGTTGCTGCGCGGGCGGCTGCATCTGCTGCGACGGCGGCTGCATCTGCGCCTGCTCTGGAATGTGTGTGTGGCGTGACGATGGCAGTGCGTGGTGGGAGTTCCCCAGCGGGGTGGGGCTGGTGGTGACGTCGGACCAGTCCGAGTTAGAGTGCGGAGAGGAGGAGGACCAGGGGTCCGGGGATTCGGGGGAGGGGGTGAGGTATGGGTGCTCGTTCTGCGGGTGGGTGGAGCGGCCCGGGGTGGTGCCCTCTGACCCAGAGGGGAGTTGGCTGTGCTGAGAGGGAGGGGTAGGGTATTTATCCACCGGGCTTTGCATGGGCGTGTAGGGCGGCAGCGGTCGAGACTGGCCCTCCATCCCGTTGGAGTGGCTGATGTTGTGGGGATGCTGCAGGGTGTGGGAGGGGCCCTGCACCACGTTCATCTGGTCCGGGTAGATCATCCCCTGGCTGCAGTGGACGTGTCCCGGGACCGGCTGGGTGTGACACAGGTTCTGGTTCTGGCCCTGGCTCTGGCTGACTTGTACCTGCCCCGATTGGGGCTGCTTCAGCATGGCCTGGCCCGTTCCCGTGGGAACCATCTGGAAGGTGACGATGGAGGGCAACTGCTCCCTGATCATGGCGACGTTCATGGGGGTCATCATGGCGCCCTGGCCGTGGCTCATGCCGGCGTGCGCTCCTCTCATGGCGTGCGGGAGGAGACCAAACATGTGACCGTTGTAGCCGTGCTTGGCCACTCCCCCCCAGCCCTGCTGCTGCCCCAGCATGTGGCTGACCGGGGGCAGCATTGCTCTGGAGGTGGGACTGCTCAGGAGGGGAGGGGAGTTGGCGGTGTTGGAGCCTGCGGCGGAAACGTCGCCTGCGTAGGAGTGAGGCGACTCCAGGGAGTCGACAGGCGACATGGTGACCGAGCTCTCTGTAGGAAGTCCTCCTGCTGCCTTTACACCATTAGTGCTGCCTCCACCTGCACCTCCTCCACCTCCTCCACCCGCCGCAGCCAGACCCGGACCCTCTCCTCCAGCAGGTTTCTTCCTTCTCTTTACTTTCAAGTCTTTATGCTCCTTTGGCCCCCCGCCGACGCCCCCGGCCTTCGCTCCAGCTCCTCTGCTTCTGCTCTTCTTGCCTTGGGGTCCGGGCCGCATGCCGATGAAGCCTCCACCGTTCGCCCCACACATCACAGAGTTTCCACCTCCACCCATGTGGTTGGCGCCGTTGTGTGGGCTGTGAACCAGGTTGTACTGGTCCAGCAGGCGGACTATGTCATGGTGCATGCGCTCTTGAGCCGTGTCGCGGGGCAGCCGGTCCAGGTGATCGGTGATGTCGCGGTTGGAGTAGTGATCGAGAAGAACTTGAGCCGCCTCAAAGCTGCCTTCTCGTGCTGCGAGGAACAAGGGGGTCTCCTCCTGAAACAAACAACGATGCAGCCTGTTAATTTATGTCAGGCTGCAATGATCCAACAGAAACACCCCTCAATATTTATACAGTAACAAATGTGTAGTAACAAGCGCATCACATGATGATAGATATATTCATCTGTCAGAAAAAACTGCAGGACAAACCAACACACACAAAATATAACTATAATAACAACAAACCTTATTGTCCTGCATGTCGCGGTTGGCTCCATTCTTCAGAAGCACAAGAGTAGCCTCCACATTGTTAACTGCAGCCGCCCAGTGCAAAGCAGATTTACCTAAACGTTGATAAAAAATATATATATAGTTTGTTAAATAGATGTTATTTTTCCAGATGATATTTAAAATCAGATCTCCATTTCTACTCTTTGCTTTTTTAAAAATCTGCCAAAATGTCAACAATATGACTCAAAAAGGGGTGTAAATGACCACAATGTTTATAAAATGGCGTAATCCCTCTGCAGTCACATTTTGGTTGATGAACCTAATGTAGCCCGCCCTGCTCACGTAGAGCAAGCATACCAACAACAACAACATTATCATTTGCTGTCTTACCGTGGTCGTCTACAGCATTGATGTCAGCGTGGCAGTGGATCAGCTCTTCTACCATGCCCTCCACAGCGAGCCGTGCTGCCAGGATCAGCGGCGTCGTACCGTCGTTCATCCTGGAGTCCAGTTCTGTAGCGCGGTTCCGGATCAGAATCTGGAAAAACAAACATAACGATACGTGAAGAAAACAAACCTGGGGAAATTTGTCTTGGACTAAACAAAGCTGATACCATAATTAAAAACAACTACAATTAATAGCATGATGCATTAAAAGGAGCTTGATAATTTCCATTCTGATGATTAATATTTTTTGAAGGGAAATTTTATTTTAAGAGACTTCATGATCCATTTTTTTCTGGTTTCAGTTGGTAGTTTTTATTTCCATTTCATTTGTTATTTTTGGCTGTGTTTAACTTTGGATATATTCCATTTGTTATGTGTTCCTTATAAAATTAGAGTTTATAGGTCTTTGAGAGGGCGAACTTGCATTATTACACAATTATTATATATATTACTTGAAAATGGTCTCAAAACAACATTATCATTTATTGAAATAATTTCGGCGATAACTAATACATTTGTTATCGTGACAGGCCTAATGACTGTCTTGTACTGTCATTCTTCATTTTTGTTTTGACTTGCAAATACTTTTCCACATTACAGCCAAACACTGCAGTGTGTTTTATTGGGATATTTTGTGACAAGATCAGTGCATGCGTTTGTGTTGAGTCCCCTACTATATCTAGAGAATATAATTAAAATTCAGTGAAACAAATTTCCTTCAGATCTCACCTAATAAAGTATAAAGAGTTGCTCTCTCTCATCAATTCTGAAGCTCTAAATCCAGCTATTAGAGCAACTAACATAAACAGAATTTTGTGGTTGTAGCGTCACAAAATCTAAAAAGGTGTTTGGGTTTTTCCAGGACTTCTCGTCCCTCTGGTCAGGAAGCTGATTTACCTGAAAGACTCCTTGCGCGTCGGCTGCCACGGCGGCGTGAAGCGGGGTTCTGCCCATGTTGTCATGAGCGTTGGGATCCGCTCCGGCGTCCAGCAGTCTCTTGGCGGCGTCGGCCCGGGCGTAGCGGGCGGCCAGGTGGAGAGCGGTTTCCCCTGTGCGGTCGGTCTGAGCCATCAGATTTGCGCCCTGAGCGATCAGATCGGAAATGACACTTGGTCCCGGTTCGTCTCCTCCGCTCTCGTCTTCCTCGTCTCCATGCAGGCTGCAGTCCGGACCTCCACCGTTACGCAGGGACGCCACCATCAGAGGGGTGAAGCCATCTGAGTGAGGAAAGAGAAAATTAAGAACTAAATACACTTCCTCATACTTCATCTTGTAAAATGATAGAAGAAGCGGCGTCTCACCAGGTCCTTTGACATTAACATCCAGACAGTCAGCATCTAAGTCAGCCTGGGGAGGAGTGAGAGTGATGTCTGCAGCTTTGTGATGCTGCAGGGTCCACTCTCTACGGTCGATACCTCCATCCATTGGGATGGAAAGCAGAGGCTTGTCTTCAGTCTGGGGAAAAAAAAAATAAAAAGCTTGAAAAAAAAAAAAAACCCCACACCTTAACCATCGACGAACTGTTACGTAAGAGTTATCATCCACATACTCTTGGCTTTTTGGATGGAGTTTCATCATCGAGCCATCTCTGACTCTGACCTCCATCAACCATGCTTCCATTATGGGTCTTGAAATTCCTAACACAAGATGAAAACATATTTTATAATGTAATGAAATGAATCACAAGTTTCTTATATGTTGGGTTTCACTTGTAGCTGATGTGAACATTGACTCACTTCATGTCAAAGTCGTCCTGTCCAACAGGCTCTCTCCTCTTGTCATTCTTGGTGGCCAGGAAGCCATCGGGGAGCCACAGAACTCCATGTTTATGTTTCTTCTTGGCTGCCAGCATCCCCAGCACCAGAATCAGCAGAACGATAAAAGCGGCAACTCCAATCAGGTACGGATATATAGAGGGGGACTCCTCTGTTGGAGCACCTGTTTTTAAGAGGAAGGTAGATATGGCTGTAATTTTTAATCATCCATTTCAGGATAATTAGAGATATGATGTAGTGAAGCAAAAACAGATTTCAGCAAAAGTGTTGTTTGTCAAAAGAGAAACTGTTCAATCATGTTGCAGGTGTGTGATGGTAGATCTACTTACTCTTAACAGACACCAGTGGGTAAGGCAGGTCGGCCTTGATGTGAGCCGCTGCGATAAAGGAGGCGGCCGTAGACGTGTTGGAGAAGCAGTTGGAGGTGGAGCTCTTGGAGCATTCACGGTTATCGATGTCCAGGTGCACCAAAGAGCTGCGTCGACAAAGGTCAAAACACCAAACTAGTTAGCAATAAAATATCAACTGATTATTTTAACCCATTGATTAGGGAACTACAAAGTTCCTACACACACTGTCATGTAAAAGTTCACCAGTTTTCCAGACTGAACTTTTCACAGTAAGGAAGTAAGGACACAGGAAAACATAGTGGAAAGAGGACATAAGTAAGGATACAAAGAAGGGAGGAAATATACAAGGACAGATGATAACAATATTTACACAATGGGAGAAGAAATTATGGGAAAAAAACATATTTCTCCAAAGTAGTTTTTTTCTTTTCTTATTTAACCAGACATTTGTACTGAAAAAAAAAACTCTGTATTTTTCCGTTATTGCCAGACTGAGCAGAAACCATTTCCCATTACAAGCCACTCTTACCCAATAACCTCTCTGGCCAGCTCCCGCTTGCTTCTGCTTTTGTCAGTCTGTCTCTGTTCTCCATAGTAAGGGTACACCATCGGCTCCTTGTTCTCGTCCAGCCTCACCCGCACATTGGTGTGGAGCAGGGCTCCCAGGGAGCGCAGGAAACCCCTCAGATCTCCCAGCAGCTCCTCTGGCTGCAGTAGGACCACAATAACCAGCGTGCCGGCTGCCAAATCAGCCGGTACGTCGTTAGAGCAGTCCAGTCCGTCCCATCCACAGGCCTCTGTGTAGCAGCTCTGGTCACAGATACCATTTCCAAAATGGTCTTTGCAGTACATGTCATACCTTAAAAACACAGGGAATGTTTTTTTTTTAATTGCTTTAAGTAATTTTGGTGCTTTTTATAGATCATCAAGAGAACAAGGAGGAGAGTGACGTACTTGCATGGGCTTGTGTGGACCTCCATGCATTCAAAGCTGTCAAAGAGACAGCCAGGGTTGTCACACTCCTTGTCACACTGTCCGTTCTTAAAGAGATCCCAGCAGGGGACTGTGGCTGTGCAGTTGGCCCACGGCTGCGGCCAGTTGAGCGAGCAGTCGCCTCCATCCCACTGGCATTCATGGTTGTTGCACTGCTCGTCACACACGTTATCTCCTAGTCGTAACTCACACTGCGCATAAGGGCATCTCGGAGGCCTAAGCTCACGTATTTTGTTCTCACAGAATCGTCCGACGAAGCCGTCGCGACACTGGCAGCTGTGCTGAAACGGGTTGGACGGGTCTTTGACACAGGTTCCTCCGTTCTGGCAGGCCACTGAGCACATCTGCTCCTTCTCACAGTGTGACCCGCTGAAGCCCGGCTGGCACTGGCAATACAGTTGTCCTACTGGTGACTTCATGCAGCGGCCGCCGTTTTGGCAGCTCAGTCTTGCACAGTTGAAATCCTCTATTTCACCACAGCTGAATCCAGAAAAGCCCTGTGAAACACAGTGTTACCGCTGAGTTATTACACTGATATTTCATAGGCTCATAAAGCACCAGATAAGCTTGTAGATTATTTTCCATTATTTCTAGTTGGTCCCACAAATGAGATTCTACTTTACCTGAGCCATGGTTTAGCCCTCTAAAGCAAGCATGAAAACATAGAGGCAGCAAGAAGTTAGGGTAGACAAACAAAAGCGGTTAGTAAAGAGAGAGAGAGAATAGCAGCAAAAGAAAAGAAAACAGCTGGCAGCATCGTCACCTTTAGCCTGAACTCATGATACACAAACAGAAAGTAGTAGTGTTGATAAGGCTGAAACGATTATTCAGATTAATGGTGATTAATCGATTACTGAAATATTCATCAATTAAATTAATAAAAGATTAATCATTAACTGAAGCATATAGACTCTAAAAAGGCCATTTGCTAAAAGAACACACTTAAAGCAAAAATTAAGTCAAAACTGTCCAAGAAAGTATACATTGTGCAACTGACATACATTTGTCTGTAAATATGTTCTACCCAAAACCCCTCAAGTGACGTAGATTTAGCTTCACCTGGTTCAAATTTTGTTCAACAAATCTATTGCATACTTTTTGTAATCCAACTATGATCACCAGTAATCAACAGATCAGCTCTACGCTGTATCAAAAAGACTTGAGCTTCTCACATGCTGACATTTTAGGCAGTCAAAATTGTTTAATAGCATGTTTAATATATTTCTAATGTTGTACACAAAAGGCTTAAGTGGTTAAATGAAAAATCTGCAGAATATGCACATTTTTTATCCAATGACTCGTAGAATAATCGTAGAATAATCGATTACTAAAATAATCAGTTGCAGCCCTAAATGTTACATGGAGGCAGGGATCCTTTGATGAGGAGTAAACAGTGGTTAGCAATAATTATTTAAAGTTAAAAGAGCATTTTTCTCTTGCCACCATAAATATTTTATAGACAAAGCAAGCTAAAATGCACCAGCGCAAACCTGTAAGTACACAGTAAAGATACTTATTTTAAATTAGTTATATACTAGATTTTAATACATAATTTTTAGAATTCATACAGAAATACTAAGAAAATAATAAAAAACCTTTTTGGTTTCTTAAAATACAAGACTTTGAATTGCATTCAGTTCATAATTTGAATGTTGGATATCTTAAAAATTAAACATATATGCATGCCATTAAATACATTTAATAAGTTAGTTTACGAGAACAAAAAAATTTTAATATTTTATCGGACAATGATGGAAATAAAAGCAAAATTAAGAATGACTTACAGGGGGACAAGTGCACATGTAGCCATGTACTGAGCTCATGTTCATGGTGCAGACGCCGCCGTTACGGCACGGCTTCGACACACACAGATCCACCATGGATTCACAATGGCGACCTAAAGGAACCAGGAGGGGAGAAACAGACCCGCGAGAAGGTTAAGAAATAATCCGCAACAAAAGGCAGAAAGATCAATAGGGTCTTGCGTGACGCTGTCACACCAACAACAGAAAATCGCTCTACTTGCGTGCCACCAGTTTGAGCAGGTAAGATGCACGTACCTGTGTATCCGAGGCGACAGAGACACTGATAGTCATTGACCAGCTCGATGCAGTCGAGGCTGCCAGCAGCACTGCAGGGTCCAGACTGGCATTCGTTGACGTCGCCCTCGCAGTGTTCCCCAACGAACCCTGGAGGACAGGAGCAGGTGTAGCGGCCCACGCCGTCGACACACTGTCCTCCGTTTCTGCAGCGCGGCTCAGAGGAGCCTGGGCTGGGGGCGCAGTCATCCTCGTTCACCTCGCACTGGACTCCTGCAGAACAGCAAAAAGATCTTACTTCACGCATGCACCAAGTGAAGCAAATCTTTCAGGGAGGATTTTACACGAACTTCACGCCATCTGTACAGCCGAAATGTAAGAGTCAAAGCTCCAGACACCAGCAGAGGGTGGTGTGTTTGAACTTTTCTTCCATCACATTCAAACAGAGGAAATGCAATGACTACATTTAAGATAAAAAAAAAAAACATCCTAACCATATTAGTTGTAAGATAACTTATAAAGACATGAGGCTTTCAAAAAAACAGAAAGCTGAACCAGATCTTTATGTACACTGTATTAATAGAAACAAAGTTTCTTTTTTCCACTGTCTGACATTAAATCGGGCTAAATTTCTCATTTCTCATGTTTTAGGTCAATTAAGATTACCAAAATTATTTCTATTTATTAAACGGAATAGTAATGAGTGCAATATTTGTTTTTTGTTTTTTGTTTTTTTACTTTCATTTTTCAAATTCACAATTTTAGAAAACAAACTTTCAAATTTCGATTAAAGTTTGTAAAAACACTCAGGGAACAATACTTTCCTGTTCTAATGAGACTAAAACTAAAGTGTTTGGAAAAGATCTTTTTTAGCCTGAGAAATGTATGAAACCTTCTGAGTTAAAAAAACAACAAAAAAAACACAATTCTCCTGCTCTTTATTCTGGGATTTAGCAAAAATAAATAATTTAGCTAATCCGAACAGACCTAAAACAATTTAGGGGTTTAGACCTACCGTGCGTTCCAGGTGGGCAGATGCATGTAAAGCGGTTGATGAGGTTGATACATCTTCCTCCGTTGAGGCAGGGCTTAGAGTGACATTCGTCAACGTCATACTCACAGTTCACTCCTTGGAAGCCTGGTTTACACTGGATACAATGAAATGAGATTTATTTTTTTGTTCTTTTTCACCCAACGACCACTTTCAGAGACGTGCAGAGAAAAAAAACAACAACAAAAAAGAGGAATGTACTCACTACACATTCGTATGTGCCCTGATAATCCTTGCATGTAGCGCCATTTCTACAGGGATTCGACTGGCACTCGTCCACCATCTCCTCACAGTAGCTGCCAGTGTATCCTGACTGGCACTTGCACTGATGGGAGTTCCCCACGTTAACACAGTGACCCGCATTCTTACATACACGTTCCACTACCAAACCTGCAGTGATGTAGACAAGGACCAAAATGTTTAGAATGAAACTTAGGACAACGATATTGAGCAGAAACATCAGATTTATATTTTGATAGAAAACGGGTAGTTCGCAGATAAAACAGTTGTTTATGTGTGACACTGGCATAAATGGCCAATTGCTTTGAAACTGAAATAATCCCTCCCTCACCACTCCTGGCAGCATAGTCCTGACAGGACATGTTGGGGACATCGCAGTAAAGTCCTGTCCACCCCATCTGACAGCGGCAGGTCCAGGATGTAGCTGTCTGAGAGCAGGTGCCACCGTTCTTACATTTCACCTGGTTGCACAAGTTTACATAGTTCTGCAGAAGAAAAAAAAAACAAAAACAAAAAAAAAAAACATAATAAAAAGTCTTTTAAATGTAAAGATGACAGCACAAGGTAAAACAAAAAATACCCACAGACATCGAATATTTTGGAACAAACTAATCATCCCTTTATAACTGAAAAAATATCAGCTGATTCATCATCCAAACAAAAACTGAATATTTCTTATAGTACACCCTAACCATCACTGCAATATTTTAAATTCAACAAAACATTAGATTTCTTTTGTTATTCTCAAACAAAGCACTTTACCTGACAGTTCTGTCCGCTGTATCCCACAGGACAGGTGCAGCGGTAAGTCCCCAGGCCGTCTGTGCAAGTGCCTCCGTTTTTACAGGGCTGAGAATCACATTCGTTGTGCTCAAACTCACAGAACATTCCGTAAAAACCATGCCGGCACCGGCAGGAAAAGGTGTTAATGTCATCAATGCAAGTTCCGTTATTGAGGCAGGAGCTGGAGAGAAAAATAACAGGAAAGTTTTCTTAAATATGAATTTGATGTACATTTGATGTCTGTTGAAGGATTAACAGCAGAATATTTCTTCTCTATCATAACATCCCTTTGGTATGGATAAAAAGTTGATCAACTGGCTCACCTCTCTGTGCATTCAAGAATGTTGTGTTGACACTGGATGCCATTGAAGCCCGGTCGGCACCTGCACACAAAGCTGTTCACGTAGTCGTGGCAGACGCCTCCATTCCTGCAGGGCTCGCTGGCACACTCATTCACATCAGTCTCACAGCGATCCCCTTCAAAACCCGCGCGGCAATCACAGGAGAAACTCGCCACTTTGTCCACACACTGGCCTCCATTCAGGCACGGGTCTAGTCAGGGCAGAATTAAATTAATGGTGACATTTACCAGTAACATATGTGTGTATTTGATATGTATATTTCAGGCTGAAGTACTTTAAAAGACTAATTTGTTTAAAGCAGAACATTTTTTTAATGTCTAATATATATGTTACTGCAGACCATCGGGACTCAGGTGAGTGTTTTTAAAATCTGTCGCTGCTGGATAACAGGCATCATAATCAATGTGGCTGCCAATCATTGATCCATGATCATTATTTTGTTTCTGTTGTTTTCTTTTAAGTGAACAGATAAATTATAAATATGATTACATTAGACTAAATAGACTTAAAAGATAATTTTATTTTACACAATATTCTTAATTTTACATAAGTTTTGTCCCAATCTGACACTGTAGAAAAAAAAAAGATCAATCAGAATTAATGCTGCTCCTAATCACTCACCCATCTCCAGATCTAATAATTAAAAATATGCAAATACTTAAGGAAAACGGATTTATAGATTTTTATGGTATTGTTTTTCCTAAAAAGCAACGTTGTAGTATAGTAAACAAAGTATCCTTAAAAGGATTAAAACATTCACAAATATGATAGTTAATAAAAATGTGTTGTTTAGATTCACATAGTTTTGAAGGTCTGTTTAAAGTGACACAAATAACAATAAATAATGTTTGCAACACTTTTTTGGAATCCTAAATCTTTTGTCCTCTTTCTTAGAATTTAAATGTCATTTTTCATCTCATGTTTGTGAGGCTCTTGCTTCCCTTTTATCCACGCAACATTAAAAAAAAAAGAAAAGAAAAATTACCAGTACAAGTTTCATGTAGGTAAATGTGCAAATGAGGGGAACACATTAGCTTGAGTGAAACTCACTTGGCGAGCAGTCGTCTACGTTTATCTGACAGTTGTGTCCGCTGTATCCACGTTGACATTGACACACATAGCTTCCTGGGGTGTCAATGCAGCGGCCACCGTTCAGGCAGGGGTTCTTCATGCATTCATTCACGTCTTCATTGCAGCGTTTTCCTATTTATATGAATAAACTCCCTTAGCAAAGCCAGCAGCATTTATGTTGTGCACCACATCACATATCTGTCTCAGACAGGTACCTTGCCAGCCAGGTTGACATCGGCAGGTGTAAGAGGTGTAATCTTGAGACGGGAGGCAAACCCCTCCCCTTTCACATGGATGGGAGGCACAGGGAACCTGCTCCACCTCACAGTGTTTTCCTGTTGTGGCACAAAATATGTACAAACACTTTTCACACAATAATAAAGAAGCTCAAGCTGCGGCCATTTGCTTCTGACAGAGCTTGGATCGACATGGTGATGTAAATGTGACATTTCTAACCTGTGAATGGAGCATTACACTGACAAGTGTAACTGTTGATTCCATCTTTACAAATGCCGTGGTTCAGACATGGCCCTGATGCACACTCATCTACGTTCTTCTCACAGTTGACCCCTAACGAGGCGAGAAATAATTCTGCTCAGTTTTCACATCTCCTTGAAGTCACTGTTTTAGAAGGATGCTTTCATCTAACGACTGCTTTATAAAGCCTTCACTGACTATCCTGAAATACACACTAGTTAATGGGAACATCATTCCCAGGATCCAGGGAAGTAATATTTGCCTAATGTATTCATAGCTCTACCTCTGAATCCTGGTTTACAATGACAGGTGTAGCCATTGAGCAGATCCTGACAGATGGCCCCATTTAAGCATGGATTCGGCAGACACTCGTTCTTCTGCTGCTCACAGTGTTGCCCGACCCAACCGGGCTTACACTCACATCGGTACCTTGATGAGAGAAAAACCAATAATTCAGAGTGTGAAGTCAGTTAAAGGCATCAGATGTCTGTTTCCTTAGTTATTAGCCTGATTACCATGTGTGAATATAAAGTCAGTTTAATGTAAAAATGCAAACTTGTGGAAAATATTGAAAGTTTAAGAAACAAATTGCTATTTACATTTGAATCAATAACACAAAAAGGTACAATCAAAACATCTGATGGTAGCTAACAGACTGTTCCTTTAGGTGGGACAGTCTCATTGTTCAAGTCTCTTTACCCTCGTCATGTCCACAGTCAAGACATCCATGTCCTACATGTTTAATTTTAAGTCTTTCATTTAATAACAAATGATGATGAGATTCATTTGAAATTTATAAATATGTTTTTACAAGGTGTTTTTGTTTGCAAGAACAACCAACAAGTTCTAAAGTTCTAAAGCAGAACTTTAGAAAATGTCAGAAAATCAGTGTCTACATTGGTTTTTACAATAAATATTAACTAGAATAAAGAAATCAGACAGTAAATTAAGAATAAAATAAGCAACTTAATCCCTAGCAATAAAAAATGTCCAGATTACAGGTAAAGGTCATTTTATTTATATAGCACATTTTCAGCAACAAGGCAATACAAAGTGCTTTACAGGAATTAAAAGGAAATACAAACAAAATAACAAACCAAAGGAAAGAGCAAAAAAAGAAATTAAGTTAATGCTGATCTAAAGTAAATAAACTAGATAAACTAGATACTCCTATTGAGGCCCGATAGATAAGTTTAAGTATTCTCTGGACTTTCTAAGTATGCTCTAAATTTGTAAAAGTAATAAGTACGCCACACTCACTAAGCAATAATAAAAACTAAATGTTCCTGTTCTGGAAATTTTTTCTGGATTCTAAGTTCGTTCTAATTCCTTTTCTGGGTTGCAATAATAGGAGTCTCTGCATCTGAATAGTGAGTACTCTACAGTTTCTAAAATATAAGCTAAAGAGTGGCTAATAAACTAACTAGAGTCTCTGGTCTAATTCCAACTGGAGGACTATTCACCACTTAAATGACTTCAGAAGGCAACTGGATGCACTTGGATAAAATAACCTGAATCTGCCTCTTCATCTCAATGTGAGAAGAGTCAATACATGTTCAGGCTGCTGTAATTAATATTTTAAAAAGTTTATTTTAATTTACTCTTATTTCTGCTGTCAATCAATCATTACTTTCAGACATAATTTCCAAAGGGCAGATTTATCATGTGTAAAGGCAGAATATAACGCAACTATAACATTTACAACAAGCAGAAAGTAAATATTAATTTAGTGTACAACCAATGTTCCCACTGACATTGAAGCCCAGGAATCAGTGGTTTTGCCTACCTGTGTTGCTGCTCAATGCAATCTCCTTGAATACAAGGCTGGGAAGCACAGTGATCAGTTCCTGAAAGGCACAGCGGGCCGTAGGTCCCGGGGGGGCACAGGCACTGGAACCCATTCACTATGTCCACACAGGTTCCCCCACTCATGCATGGGTTTGAGTTACACTCGTTGATGTTGACGTCACACTGATCTCCTGTTGAAGAGTTTTTCAGGTGTACGCCACATTGAAACGTTCATTAGCACACTCGGACTAAAGCTAAATTGATCATTATTAGTGATATTACTCACTAAAGCACATACCTGTGTATCCAGGGGAACACACACATTTGTACTCATTGATGCCATCTTGGCACTCTCCGTGCTTACAAGGGTTGCTGGCACAGTCATTCTCATTGATCTCACAGTTCACACCTGAAGAGAATAGCAATGTAAAGATGAGGACAGTTTAACTAATACATTACTGCTGTTACTGCAAAAGCTTCATGTTGATTGGCGGATGACCAACGCAAATAAAGGTTGGAGTTAGAGAAAACACAAAATCTGTGGAAACAGACTTTATCTAAGGTTACACCAGTAGGGGGCGTTGGACTCAAAGTAAAGCACATTTAGCAAGACCTTATAAAAGGAGAACTGAGACAGACTAAGTAGCACACAGGAATGTTGCAAGCACAACATAAGTGCTTAACATTATTAAAATGCTTACTAAAGGTGAAGTGAGAAATGGGATAGAGAAAGAAGGGGAAGGCACAGCAGAGGAGAGGAAGTGGAGCATAAAATCTAATAGGGTGACCTGACACTAGGCTTAGTGAAAACAGTACCAGTTTTAAGGGTGGTACTGAACCCAATAATGCATACAGCTTTTACACTGGTGGCACTTGTTTCAAGCAACAGACATTTAGATTTCTAAACATCCAAAATGCACCACAAAGTTCTGAGTTCTCCAACAACAAATTGGAAACACATTTTCACAAAGTTAGCATTTAACAAAGTTCTCCATTAAACTGTTCAAGATAGAATGCATGAAGTGAATTTGTGCATGGGAGCTTTAAATGGAAAGAAAGATATTATATACTTAGTGGCAATAGGACTTTCATCAGTGTTTTCTATGCTTAAGGATTAATAATCCACTAAATTCTACTAGCTTATTTCTAACAAAGATGACTCAAAGCATCTAATTACAACTCTTACTACTATAAAGATAATCAAGGATTTGGTGTGGATTTGGGTAAATAATGTTTAAAATACCTTCATTTTAACAAGAAAATGTGATACTATATTAACTACAAACTTTACTTAAATGGCAACTATAAAAAATTTAGAGCCATAAAAACTAACCAATACTTAAAGTATTAAACTTTAATCAATCAGAATATGCATTTCCATTGGTTTCCAAAGTATATAAGTAATTGAAAAAAAAAAAAACCCACACATTTCTCTGATAAACAATTAATAGTGAAAGTGCTCAGACAGATACCATGCATATTCACACTAATCCAACCATGTCTTCCCCTTTTTTGAAAACACTGTATGTACACAAAATCACTTTTCATATATTCATATCTAAAATGTCTTCACTGAGGAAAAAGTGGAAGTCAAAATCAAATTCCTCATTTGTAGGCACCAACTTGGGGAATAAAGCGGATTCTGAATAAATAAAGATCGCTTTTTCTAACAGAAACAAGATATTCGGTAACTGTTCAAATGGGCCAATCACTTACCCGAGGTTCCTGATGGACAGTTACACTGGTATGCATCAACCAAGTCAATGCAGCGCCCTCGATTTTGGCACGGGTTGCTGAGGCACTCCTGGACCTGGATGTTGCAGATGGAGCCTGTGTAGCCAGGGTAGCACTCACAAGAGTAGGTGGCAATGCCATCCTTACACACACCGTGATGACAAGGTGGTGGATCGCAGTCATTGATGTTCTCCTCACAAAGCAGACCAGCGAAGCCTATGAAGAAAAGTTCTTGTTAAAGTGAAGACACAAGGAGTTAAAATAGTGTTTCAGCTGAAGCCAAACGTGGCATTCGCCTTCACCTTCTGCACATTCACAATCATATCCGTTGGGTCGATCGATACACTTGGCTCCATTCAAACAAGGCGTACTGGAGCACTCATCGATGTCTATTTGGCACATATCTCCGCTGAAACCTGAGGACATTTTATAGAAAAACAAGCTGAAGTAAGGAATGTACTAAGCAAATTCTAGAAGACTTGGATCTGTCAGAGAAATAGGTGAAAACGGGTTTGTGCCAAACTGACCTGCTGGGCACTGGCAAACAAAACGGCTGACCTGGTCCACACATTTACCCTGGTTCAGACAGGGAGAGCTCAAACACTCATTCACGTCAATCTCACAGTGAGTCCCCTCAAATCCTGTAGGTATTAGGGGAAGCAAAAAAAACAATAATTATGTGAGTGGATTTACATCAATCTGGCTCAAAAATAGGCACAAAAACAAACAAAACTCCTTTTTTTAATTACTTTTTTCCTCAGTTCTTTTTTAAATGAACCATTCCACCTGCATCACTTTACTTTTCCAAACAAAATGAAAGTGGTTTCATTGCATTTAATAATATAAGCAAGTTAAAAGTACTATCTTGGCAGACGTATGTTGTCTTGTTTTAAAGCATTTTCATATTTTTGCTTAGAAATCATCTAGATATTTCAAAACATATTTTGAAGTCTGTTGAAGTCAGACAGACCATGTTGCCGATTTTGTTGATTCCGATAAAATCAGCTTAGGACACTTTTATTCGGACAAAGCTTTTAGTTAAATGTTCTACTTCTTGTTTTTATCAGTTGTTCTTACTGTCATAAGCCCACATCGCAATCTCCATAAACCACCTTGTGATTTTATCTATGAAAGGTGTAGCATAAATAAAGTTGCCTCGCTTTATTACTTACAAACAAAAACAAAGACTGACTACTTGAAAAAGCTTCATTTAAGGTTTCTTTTTGAATTTGTGTGGTCATTTTTCAGCTTCTTAATAAGTTACCAGGCATGCAGATGCAGGTGTATTCCCCGATGCGATCCAGACATGTGCCATCATTCAGGCAGGGGTTGGAGGCACATTCATTGACATCTTGTTCACACCGAGGCCCAGAGTAACCTTTGACACAGTTGCAAGTGAAGGAGCCGTCAGTGTTCACACACTGACCGCCATGCTCGCATGGGTTGGGACCTGTTAGTGAAAAAAAACAAAAAAAACAATTAAAAACACACACAAAAACCTAAGCTAAGCAGGAAAATATTTCCAGACGCTGTCTCACCAATGCTGCATTCATCTCTGTCTTTGTTGCAGGTGTTGCCTACATATCCCGGTGGACAATTACAGTTAAACATCCCAGTGATGGGGTTGGTGTCGCAATGTGAGCCCTCTCTGCAGGGGTTGCTGATGCAGGCGTCGTCTCTATGGCAGAGCAAACCTGACGAAAACAACATGATAGAAACATTTAGTAAAAATTGTCGATTCCCATGTGAAGGGAAAAAAAACAACAAAACTTTTGAAGCGACTGCTGAAGCTCCTGCCTGTGCTTTCATGGGGTTTTTGCACAGAAACATCTGACATTATTTTTAAGGTCAAGCTCCAAAAAAATGAGCCATCAGTTAAGATCACAAAAATGTAAGTAAGCATACACTGCGTTATGTAATTTCTCTATTTGGCATGGGCTGGCTGCCAGTATCAAGCTTATCACACAAGGTTTTGTAGTGATGCATCTGCATCTCATCTGACTGAAACAAGGCTTATGACTTGATTGCAGAAGGACAAATTTGGAAAGAAAGACAGAGGCAGTCATGGTGTGAGAACTATAACCGTGCAATCACTCTAAAAGTCTGCTGAGCAACCGGCTGCATACTTGCTCAGCAAGTCTGCAGTCGTAGACTTGCTAGTTAGTATTAATAACTAGTATTATTAATACTAGTTATTAATAACTAGTGTTATTAATAACTAGTATTAATAATACTAGTTATTAATTATTAATAATTAATAACAAATAGATAGTAATTCATTATCTACTAGTTAATTAATTAGTAGATAACCCAGTCATTCAGACTGGGTTTTAGATAGAGTTTGGCTGCATAATTGTTCTGTTAAATGTATAGTATGTTGATTTATCTCTACTTTTAGGCTTTAGCTTCTGCGTTTTTGGTTTTATGCTTGTTATTATTGTAAAGCACGCTGTTGTTTTGGACCTGCGAAAGTTTCTATGTAAATAAAGTTTACGTACTTAGTTACTTAACTAATATTGCCTTCTCAAACTTCTGTTCCTCAATAAAGAGGGAACAGTAAAACAGAGCACAATATTTAATCATTTTGGTTAAGCCTAAATCAATAATAAAATATTAAATACATTTTAACTGTAATATATATTTCACACTATTTTAGATGCAAGAGGAGAAATTATTTTCTGTTTTAAATGAAAGAATGAAGCTCATGTTATACATCATATAGAGATACTTTTGATATTTTTACAGGTCCATGCTTAATTTCAAAGCAGTGTCATCAGTTTTCTAAATTAATAACAATAACTTGATTTATTGGTTCCACTAAATAGACAGGAACACTATTTCAATAATATCTCCTAGAAAAAATAAGAAAAAAAATCAGTATCAAGTTGAAGTGACAGAAAAAGTATTTTTTTCACAGTCTTCTTAAAGTAAGCGCACCTGTCTTTCCTTGGGGACAGACACAGATAAAAGACGCAACACGGTCGATACAAGTGGAGCCCAGGCTGCATGCGGCTGTCGCGCAGTCATCGATGTTCTCCGAGCAGTCAGGGCCGCTCCAGCCGTTGACGCACACGCAGACGTAGCCGCCGATCAAGTTGCTACATGTACCGCCATTCTGGCAAGTATTTGGCTGCAGCCGACACTCGTCCACATCCTCTGTGCAATGCTGACCTGTGGATGGGAAATGAACACAGGAGAAGACGTGTTAAAATAACACTCTGGGCACCAGCTTTCGTCATAACTGAGGTCGGTCGATTTCTGGTGAAACAGCATGACCCACTTCCAGAAGGAAGTCACTTTGGACAGAGATTGAAAATATATAATAATTTAACTTTCCCACAGTGTCCAGCTTTCTTTTAGATATTTATTCCTTTGATTGTGTTTCTGCAGGCTGGTTTTAAACTCATGACAGGCACTTAAAAACAGATTCAGATATATAAGTATATATATTTATTTTTTTACCAACAGAGGACATATTTCATTCAGAATATCTTTATACAGATATTTTAAATTTCTAAAAATGTATAGTTTTAAATAAATATTTAAAGCCATGAGTCCAAAAGGACATGTCTAGTCACAGACACACCGATTTCTAGGAATGGGATTAATTTAATCCCAACTACAGACAAACATATGATTCTCTTACCAGTCCACTCTGGAGGACACTGACAGTTGTAGGTATTGACTCCATCTATGCATGTTCCTCCATTGGCACAATGATGGCCAGGACAGTCGTCAATGTTGTTCTCACAGTTAGTTCCATTAAAACCTGGAATCAAACAAATACAGAGACATCTGTCAAAATATGGCGCACATCGATTCAATGGTGTGTCCATGAAGACAAACAAACAACTGTTTTGAATATTGATATTAGAATAAAGTATGTCCTGGTATAAACAGTACAGGAGTGTGTTTGCTGTTTCCATAAGCTAAATGTAACAGGCTGCTATGTGGCTAATACAACAAAGATCAAGATCAAACTGTTTGCACTGCAAACAGCACAGAGTAACAATTAAAAAATTCAACTGTGACTGTTAGTTTTTTACTTCCAATGTTTGCATCTCAATAAGAATGTGTTGGCAGGTGTGTTAGGATGCAAGCTTAATGGTCCTACCTGGAAGGCAGTGGCATGAGTAGGTGGTTTCAGACATCTGGTGGCAGGTGCCTCCGTTCAGACATGGCGAAGGCGAGCAAGGGATGTATGAACTCTCACAGTGGAGGCCCGTAAAGCCTGGCTTACAGCCACACCTGTAGCAAAAGCAGAGCTCACTTCACTCAATCAACTCCTTCAAACTCAGCATAATCTGTCTGCTGTTCCTTCAAGAAAAAACATGTGGAAGTAGCGACGTTTTTCACGTGATCACTGGAAACTCACTTGTAAGAGCCAGGGGTGTTGACACACTTGCCGTCATTCTGGCAGGGTGAGGGTGTGTCTGCACATTCATTTGTGTCGTTAAGGCAGCGCGGGCCTTGATAGCCAGGAATACAGGAACAGGTGTAGCTGCCACCAGGCAGAGAGCTGCACCTTCCTCCGTTGGCACACGGACTGGAGAGACAGCTGTCCTCATGCTCACAGTGTGGACCTGGGAATCAGGGGAACAAAGCGCTTAATGTCGGTGCTTTAGCTGTCCTTGGTCTCATTAGAAAAAGTGACGCTCTGCAGATGTGGAGGGGTTAGACATCAAACCTGCATGCAGTTCCTCAGGCTTATGTATTTTCCAAGCATATAATGCTATTTTATGGCACAGTCACGTAATTATGTTACCTTCAGTTGTTTTAAAATGTGTCAAAGCAACACTTTAGTTATGTCTTTGATGAGGGGATAACATTATAAGATTACGTAAAGCTCAAAAAGTCGATTTTGCATAACACCTCTGCTCCCATTAAACTTATTTTCAAAGAGATAGATGGGAAAGCGCTGGCTACCTGAGTAAATAGCCCATTGTTAGACTTGTGCTGCTCTATAACAAGCAGAACACCAAAAAGTTGCAATTTTCTGTACAACAAACATGTTTATTTGAAAATGGCAACAAAAATTGGCTTGTATTTATTCCATATTGCCATATTGAGTTCTCCAATTTTGCTGGACAACTCCAAACAATCAATAAATGTTTATTGGCTATACTATTGTTAATTATTACAGCTGTAAATATATGTCATATTGTTACAGCAGTAGTGGGAGTAATTATTTTTTTTTTGTTTGATGTGAAAGCTTTAAATGTCTTGTGGTACTTTTACGAAAGGCTGTCACAGAATCACCCGTGGCCCATGACTAATTTGTACCCATTCGTATGTTCTGGATTTCTCAGTAACTTTGTATTGAGGTAATAGGTGGGTGAAAGTGATGAAGATGGGCAAATTCTGAGAGTGTGTGCTTTGATGGGGCCTAACGCAAAAGAAAGTCAGATTTTTTCAGCCAGATATTAAGCCTAGCAATGACTCAACGGTGTGACACTAAAGGGGAAAAATGCAACAGATTAGGCAATCAGAGCAGTTTCAAAATGTTTGATGGAATTTCCTGAACTGAATCTTTGCTAATAAAGCCCTTTTTCACTTCATAAACTCCCATCTTCTTGTGACACTGCCAAAAAAAAAAAAAAACACAGCTGAAACAATTTAGGGAAGTTATCCTTATGAAGAGAGCAATGCCGCTGTCAGCAAGTTAAAAACCATTAGCCCAGTCCAGAAGCAACAAAAACAAAAACAGACACCAGGGTTATCTTTCCTTGTATCAAATAATTCTGGGATGAAAGAGCTGATTAAACATCATCTCACCTGTCCATCCTCTGGTGCACTCGCACTTGTACTGGGCAAGGGACAGCAGGGTACAGACCCCCTTGTTGGCGCATGGGTTGTTTGGATAACACGTGGAGTTTTGGGGAGTTTGGCAGTGCTGTCCAGCGTAGCCGAGAGGACAGGTACAGATGGCGCTACCGGGAACAGGAACCCCAGCTGACATGGACACAGAACAGTTCCCCCCATTCAGGCAGTATCCTGGTTGACAAGGGTCCTTGTGCTGACAGTACTCTCCCAAAAAACCGGGAGCACACCTGTATACACAGAGAAAATAAACATAGAAATTATCGATCAAACGGACAAAATCACAAAGGAATTAAAGCTAACCAGTACTCAGTGCAGACAATGCAACAATGAATTGAAGAAGCA